TCTCTCTCTCTCTCTCTCTCTCTCTCTCATACACACACCTATTTCTATTTTCATAACGGGTACGAGCGCTCTCGTACTTAAAGTAATTGCACTTAATGGCCACGCGGCGCGGCCGCGCGGCATGCATGCGCTTCGGAATATTTCGAGTGTAGCTGCAGGCGTGGCACGTTGATCGGGTGTTTAAGTCAAGAACCGGCATCGCGTGTTCCGCACATATGCACGGGGTGTCCCGAAGAGTCGCGCTCACGACCGGCTCAACGTCATGACGCAAATACGCGTGTTTTTTCCCTTATTAATTCAACGTAATTAACCGCCGTCATTCTTGAGTCACGGCATAAGTAATAAATTCGTGGAAATAATACACATTTTTTACTTTGTTTATCGATGACAATTCGTATGACGAGGCCTGCAATGAACGCGCGTGAACGTAATACACTCTGAAAAACCAAATAAGTTTGAAATTGCGAAAACCATCGAGATCTGATCTCGAATTGCCTCTATTTTATGTGCTTCATTTATGCACGACTCTCACATAATTGGAAAATTATTTTTCTTATTTACTTAAAGAATTTGAACCGTTGTTGAAAATACTTTATTTCCTTTGAAATAAATTCGGGATAATTTTAATTCGAATTCGTTTCATTTTCGAATAAAAAATTTGATTTAATTTGTTTTCGAACAGGTTATCAAAGAATCGATTTGATTCACGAATGCTTAATTCGCACACCTCTAGTTAACACCAACATAGTAAGAAATACTAAGAATTATAGAGACATCGTCTATGATGTTAAATTCATATCGTTATTTTTTTTAGAGTGCATAATTATGAAATGTGAGTGTAACTTGTATCCACGTTGAGCTATTTTTCTCTCGCACGCATACCAACGCCGGAAGACGGCGGAACGTGTCGCGAGCACGAGTAAAAAGCATGAAAAGCGTGCTAGTAACTCGACTACATTCTACACGCTTCTTCGTGGAATTACATAATGCCGGTGTGAGGTAACCGATTTCAATCACACGTGCGATCGAGAACGAGGCTTTATTTGGTATGCCTTTTCTATGAACCTCGTCGTACACTTCCTCGATGCAGCGGCACTTCATAATGACGTGCTTTTAACTCAATTAGGACGACTGTCTATAGTCATTCTAACTTCACCCGATTGCATTTCAAAAATGATGCCTTTCTCTTTAATCTTTTAATCCTCTATTTTTTATCTTATCTTTTACGATTTTTTTTTTACAAAATACTTTTTTAGCAGCTTACAGTGTCTTAAGTCTTATATTAAATGTTTAGTTAGATCTGACTTGAGATTAATCAAGATTAAGGATTATAATTTTTTATTTGTTTCTGTAAAGTTTCAAACTTTTTCGAAGAAAGTCTTTCGTTTACTTATCGCGTATAATGTAAAAGCTTCGATATTTTTGTAAAGGAAAAATTGATTTGAGATCGATCAAAGAATCCATAGGGTTCGAAGGAAACGATGAACGACAGCGTTCTTTTTTTATACGCGCGGAAATGAAAGGAAAGTCTTGCTCGAGATATGTCCAGCTACAGTAATAATTCCATCGTTTTGAGATTCTATTCTTCGTGCCGCGTTGTGGCGGACGCTCATCTGTTCTGGTATGATATAAAGGACAGTGGACAAGGCAGCTTGATCGTCTAAAGTCACGGCTGGTATGCCCTTTTATAGGACTCTATAAAGTCTCTCGGTGTGGGGTCCACGACACCCCCGGTTACTCTATAAGAAAGAACGTCGCTCGAACCCCCTGTAATAATTCTTTGCCATAGGAATTCCTGGCGTGACTTGACACGGTTCTGCCTTCGGTCACGCTTGAGAAATTCATAGATGAAAAACAAAATGTTGCGGAAGGGCTTGAGGTGGCAGATAGGAAAAGAAACACCTTTCTAATCCCTTGCGCTTGAAACAGTTGCCGCTTATAAAAAAATCACAGAAATTAATCTGATTTTTAATTATTATTTTCATTTACATTTATTATTATCATCGTGAAATTCAATTAATGATCCAAAATATCATTGCTTTGTACAAAATTGGCAAGAATCAATTATTTTACATTTCTATAAGTTTTCTGATCAAATGGAGTTTTATATATTTTCACAAAATGATTATATGTGGATAATCATCTTCAAGTCCCTTTGGTCCCTTTTCGTTTAATTACATTAAAAAATTTTAATTTTGCTCAGAGCAGCTTTCCATTTTACTAATTTCTCAATTCTTCATTTTTTATATTAGGTACCTGATGTAGGAGTCGAACTGTCAGGTGGTTGCTATGGATTCGCAGCCAAATACATGCACTGGCCGGAGGAGCTGGTGGTCGGCGGTGCCAAGCATAACAAGACGGGTCATTTGACTCGCGCGGCCGCGCTGCAGACTGTGGTGCAGCTGATGGGCGAACGCGAGCTGTACGATTTCTTGGTGAATACTTATAGGGTCCACCACATCGATTGGACGCAGGAGAAAGCGGCTAAAGTTCTAGAGACTTGGCAAAGAGTATTCAGCAATGAAGTGAAGAAGTTGATGGAGGTCAACGGATCAGCACCGTACAATCTGTACGCTTTCAGTACGACAACCATGAATGACATCCTTGGGAAATACAGCGAGGTGTCCGTAATGAAGATCGCTATTGGTTGCGTGCTTATGGTTAGAAATAATTTTATTATATGTAATTGAAGAATCTCTTAATGTAACAATAACGGAGAATAAACTCTTTTTTTCCTATTACTTTACGTCAAAGTTCATTTTCTCCGTTTTTAAAATGTGGGTTAACCCACTGTTGCAATAAGCTTTTTAATTGTTATGATATTGTAAAGTTTAAAGATATTGAAAATGTTTTCATTTTACTTACCTATTTACTGATCCAATTTCTGTTTTATTTTTTTAGTTGCTGTATGCTGGTGTAGCTCTCTTTCGTTGGAAAGATCCAGTGCGTTCACAGTCCGGGGTAGGAATGGCTGGCGTAATGTTAATTTGCGCCACAGTAGCTGCAGGATTGGGTTTCTGTGCTCTTTTGGGGATCCCGTTTAATGCCACCACGACGCAAATAGTGCCATTTCTTGCCCTCGGTTTGGGCGTACATGATATGTTCCTGTTAACGCATACATATGCCGAACTGTCCGTAAACGAAGTGCCCAGCAGTGAGCAAACGGGAGTCGTTCTCAAGCGAACTGGCCTGTCGGTACTGTTGACAGGTCTGACCAATGTTATTGCCTTCTTCGCAGCCTCGATAATCCCGATCCCGGCTCTCCGAACGTTCTGTATGCAAGCCGGTATTGTGCTGCTGTTCAATTTGGCTGCCATGCTGCTGATATTTCCTGCGATGGTCAGTCTAGATCTGCGACGTAGACGTTCCGGTAGGAAGGATATTCTCTGCTGCTGTTTACCGGCGTCACCCAATTTTGGAAAGAATAGATACTCTGTAAAGACCAATGGCACGGCCAAGCAAACGGTCACCAGGGCGATACCACCTGAGAGACGAGAAACCTGTACGCAGATTTTAACTCCGCAGAATACACAGAACGAATCTTGGGTATGAAACGATGTACATATATGCATATATATCGCACATATATTGGAGATTTTATTTAAGGTTATATTATGAAATATCATATTTTAATGTTCATTGTATTAGAGATTGAAGAAATTTACTTTGATAAATGATTGCTTGATTATAATAAGATTTGAAAAATCAATGACAATTGCTTTCTATGTATTTACACAAGTTGAAATTAACACAGAATCATCTACAAGTATCCTATTCGTATTGCAGATAGGTGGAAATGTCATCGACGCGGAACTGGATAAACAGTGCACTGAAGAAGACGCGCTGACCGGCTGTTCACAAGATGATTGTTTGAGCTTTTCTCTGACGCAGCTTGCGTCTCGACATTACGCACCCTTCATCAGTCGAACGGCTACTAAAGTGTTTGGCGTGATAATCCTGGTCGCTGTACTAGTTGGTAGCATATGGGAGGCGATATCCTTACGTGATGGCCTGGATCTGACTGATTTAGTGCCGCAGAATTCGAATGAGCATGCATTCCTGTCTGCCCAAGCAAAGTATTTCGGTTTCTACAACATGTACGCAGTCACTGGTCGAGATTTCGAATACCCGAATAATCAACTATTGTTGTACGAGTATCATGACAGTTTTATGCGTATCAAGAACGTCATAAAGAATGACAATGGTGGTTTACCTGAATTCTGGCTTAGCTTGTTCCGCGAATGGCTAAAGGGTTTACAGGCGGCATTTGACAAAGACTATGAAAACGGCTGCATCACTCAGGAGAGATGGTTCCCGAATGCGAGCGACGAAGCAATCCTAGCGTATAAATTACTCGTGCAGACCGGTCATGTGGACAATCCAATCGATAAAACGTTGATTACTACTTTACGATTGGTTGACGCGAATGGTATCATCAATCCACGTGCTTTCTACAACTACTTGAGTGCATGGGCGTCCAACGATGCACTTGCTTACGGTGCTTCGCAAGCAAATCTGAGGCCTGAACCGCGTCAGTGGATTTACATTAATGACCATGAGCTCAAGATTCCTAAGAGTATGCCGCTCACGTATGCACAGATGCCGTTTTATTTGCACAGGCTCACGAATACGCAAGATATCACAGAATTGATCAGTAGCGTCCGGGAACTGTGCAAAAAATTTGAAGAACGCGGTTTGCCGAATTTTCCGTCCGGCATATTGTTCCTTTTTTGGGAACAATATATGAATTTGAGATCCTCCATGTGTATCGCTCTTGTGGCTGCATTGGGTGTAAGCATCTTAGTGGTTGGATTCCTATTATTGAATATATGGGCTGCTGTGTTGGTTGGTTTCTTTCTTCTCGTTGTTATTGCTGAACTACTAGGCGTTATGAGTCTGTTCAACATCAAGTTGAGCGCAGTACCTGCTGTACTATTAGTGGTTAGTGTGGGCATAGCTGTCCATTTCACGGTACACATCTGCCTGGTAAGTAATTTGAGAAACTTCTTCATTAGTGTATTTCTTAGTTTTTAGTTGGTTTAAGCGTATTAGATTTATAATGTCAAAATAAAAAAACTTTTTTTAGAATTAAAAGAGATTGAACGTTTTAATTTTATTGTGATTGTTATTTTATCAACTGTTATTTCATCCATTGTTAGTGATATTATCGATACATTTATACGTCAACATTTCTTTTAATTGATTTTTCTCTATTTACTTTTTATTTTGTATATGTCGTGTCTTTGTTAGCACAAATGTGTGATTCTGTTTCAGAGTTTTGTCACCAGTGTTGGAAGCAGAAATCGCAGGATGCGTTTAGCTCTGGAACATATGTTTGCTCCGGTTGTCCATAGTGCGTTCACTACGCTACTCGCCGTGGTGATGCTCGCTTTCTCGGAGTTCAATTTCATAGTCAATTATTTTTTCCTTGTATTACTCAGTGTGATCGGTATCAGTCTTGTGAATGGCATCTTTTTCTTTCCTATTCTATTGTCCCTTATCGGTCCGAAAGCGGAAGTAATTCCGAACGATCATCCGGATCGTATATCCACGCCGACGCCACCATCGTCGCCCGTTGTGAGAAGATCCAAGCCACCCACACCACCGAGGAGATCTCACAAAATCGATAATGCTCGGCTGCATGCCGAACCATCGCTCACAACTATCAGCGAGGAACCCAACTCGTGGCACAGCACGCAGGAGTCCTGTATTATTGTCCAACCTGAACTTAAAGTGGAGACCACGTCCACATGTGGTAATCAGGTGCGTTGAGATTTGCGATCGATTGATTGTTGATCAGCATGAGAGCGTAACTTTCTCCAATAAATTTTTCACACTTCTTCGAGCATGACTAACGGGCGTGTTCTTTCATTTTGACTAACAGAATTGTAGCGGATCGGATACGAGTGGGTCTAGTCGAACGTCGCCGGTTCCGCCCACATCACACATCACCACTAAGGTCACCGCAACGGCAAACATCAAGGTTGAAGTTCATACACCGTTAACTAGTGAGTACTTAAAAGCTACCTCAAAATATTGCCCTAATGTTGTTTGATACTTTAAACTAATAAACGCTGTTTAACTAACGCATGCCGCTGTAATTAAAAATATCATTACACTTATATATGCTAAAAATATTTGCTTTTGAATTATTTTAGTATCTTTTTTTTTTTGAGAGAGATTATAAATTATGATAATTTTTTAAATAAAATCTTATTTTGAAAATTAGAGTAAAATTATATTAATGAAATTTGTATACATTGTTTCAAAACTTGAAAAGAATTCATAAAACATGTATATCTTTTTTAATTTTCTGTGCAAATATCGTTATTTTCATATATGCTACATCTTTACTTATTTATAATTCCTATTTTATTTTATTATTGCATTTTTTCAAATCGATATAAGGAACAATTATAATAAATATATTTATTTTTATGAAAATTATAGGTGGAATGGATCGTAGTGAAAAATGCCGGCACTCGGGCAGCAATAATCGAAGGAGCTCGCGCTGCAATACGAACGTTAATGCTGGGGAGTCTTCCGGTTCCGAGCCAGATTCAGACTCTAACGCAAAACACTAATAACAAGTACCGGGGGGACCGGCAGCTACTGCTCAAGTACCACGTAAAGCGGGAAAACACAGAAGGCTGATTAGGATAGATTAATAGTTTTCCATTACCTCTCTCTCTTTCTATTTTCCTCTCTTTCTTTTCTCCTCGTCCTTACTTAGCTCTCTATTTTTCTGTTCCAGACTTTATTCTCCTTCAAGTGAGTAATGCAACGTACATAGTTGTTTTACTCAGACTTTAAAGACAGAAGTATTATAATACAAACCGCAACTTTATAGTATATATATGAATATTTTCGTAAACAATTTTGTTGCATGTTTAATTTTCTGTGTTTTTACAATGAATTTTTTAAAGTTCTGAATAGACTTTCTCCATAAGAACCAACATTGTATTTACTTATTAGAATTTGTTATTACCAGCAAATTTTATATTTACATTTTATGCGTATATTAATGCGTGAATTATTATAAGATTTTAAATAAATTGTTAAATTTCTTAATGAAGAAAAATTTTAACCGGAATGATGTAAAAGATGTTATTCTGAATATTTCAACAGTGTAATATTACCAAGGATAATAATGCGTACAATTTACTAAAAATCAATGTATTAGATTATTTTAGATAAATATTATCTGAAATATATATATTTTAGATAAATTTATTTAATTAATGATCTTGCGGCGTGACAAGAATAGTTCGTGTCATGTACTACTGGCAAACACATAAGAACATTATATGATTCGTACTCTTTTGAGAACGAGGGAAGACAATACTCTTTTGCCAGTATGCCTTTGTTTATCACAGACTGACACTAATATCTGTGTCAATAAGCGTATTCGTAATATTTGTGTAATACATAACGGGAGAGAGCATTTACTAAGATGTATATATACATACTTGTTATTTAATTAGAAAGTTAAAGATATATTACTGTCAATAGAATGCGACGTTTTTCAAATGTAATCGTGAAATTTTGCGACGACGCTTTATTGTGCGACAAAAAACGACAAAATTTCCAGATACTATTATTTATTTCTTTTCTACATTAATCATATGTTACGCGCAGTGTGTATGTATGTGACTACGAGCGGTACTGAATCTTTGAGATTTATTTATTATTTATTTTAATAATATTCCTCTCGGCGTTTCTGCGGGTGTATGTGCGCGAGCGCAATATTTTGTACGCATAAATATATAACGATTCTCTTGTAAAAATAATTATTTATATCGGACTATACGAGAATACTTTTCATTGTCTACGATAATAACGGTACTTAATTTAATATGTGCAGTATATATTCCTATTTTGATATTCATACCTCTAATGTGTATAAAATTGTAATATATAGTATCAGTGACCTAGTAACTGCGACATGTATTGTCATAAGATGTGACTCGTGAAATTATGTATAATATAAGCGAGAAGTATTCTTTATGCCAAGTCAATTTTGTATACATATGCGAGACTCGAGGTGTGTATTTAAAGTGACGAAAAGCATTCTGCAGAATGGCTTTTGCATTTTGTACATGTTGTATAAGCTCGGATGGGAAAAATAGTCAATATACCTCTAATATACGTATAAATTGTACCATGACTTGTTTATTTTACAAACTTTTCATTATAAGAATCTAATTATTTTTTTTAATGTATAAAGAACTACTTGTACGATTTATAATCCAATTTACACGCACACAAACGACACGCGCGCGCGCATACTCATACAGTGTAATACACATTACATTACTATATTGCTATTCCTAAAAAAATCAACATAAAAATGAAAAGGTAAAGCCATGTTCAAACAATATCTTCTCAAAAATTTAGACCTTTAAAATTTTAAATGATTAATTATATAATATAAAATAAGGCCCAATAAGTATAAAACAATAGGAGTAATAATAAGGGCAATGAGCCAAATACTGAACGCAAGAAAAATTTTTCAAATTAAGTATA